AGGTTGATCCATTGCTTGACATTCATATCACTCCAGCTTCTGTATCTAAAGTGATTATCTGCTTAGACTCTTCTACAGCTTGTGGCCCAGACAACATACCTGTTATAGTCTTACAGAAGTGTTTCCAGGATTATTGTTTTGTAATTTATAATATATAGATTTAATAATTTTTAAAAGGCTTAGATAAGTTTTAATACAAAATTAAGTTAAAACATGATTCAACTTAATTTTAGAGGTTCATTAATGTATTAAATATTATAGTTATATTATCATTAAACTAATCATTTTTAGGTGTTTGATGAGTGCTTAAAAAGTATTCAATTGCATTTGCGGTTTTTTCTATCCTGGCATTTCCCGGGGACAAATTTCTCAATCCTGAAATCCTGGAATTGAAAATTCCCGGAATTTTTGCCATCCCTATAACCAATAGGTTTTATCGTGCATTAGATAAAGGTGGAGAGGTTAAGACCATTGTTCTTGACATTTTTAAAGCTTTTGATAATATTTGGCATGCTGGTCTACTCTATAAGCTTTCTCTTACAGTGTATCTGGCAACATCTTTAAGATTATTGAATCCTTTCTTTCCAATCGTAGTATAAAGTTGTCCTCAATAGACAGCACTCTTTTTCTTATTCTGTAACTTCAGGGATTCTTCAAGGTTTAATACTTGGCCCTATACTCTTTTTAATTTACATTAACGATCTTCCAGATATTCTCACATCAAAGGTGGCTTTGTTCGTTGATGATACTACCATTTATTCTTGTCATAGTAAGAAGCCAACACTCTCTGATTGTTTGGAGGGGGCATTTGAGCTTGAAAAGAATCTCACTTCTGCTACAGCATGGGGTTTACAGTGGCTGGTGAATTTTAACTCAGATAAAACTTAATTTATTTCAGCCAATCGTTATCGCAATAATTTAGATCTACCTATATTCATGAGGAGTAATGTACTCAATGAGTCATCTACCCTTTGTCTTCTAGGATTAAATCTTTTTTTTTTTTTTTTTTTAATTTAATTCACCTCCTCAAGGCCGAAAAGGCCACTACAGACGAAGAGGCTGTAGTTATAACCCTCTCTCAACTCTATAACTTCAAAATACGAACCTTGATCAACAAGGCTGCTGCGCGGAGAAACGAGTTGAGCGCAGTACTACCAGGGAGATGGTGGGGATTGAACTTGGAACCACTCATTTTATGAAGCGAGAGCTCTACCACTACACCACTACCGCATACAAATCTTACTTCTGATCTTTCTTGAAAATCATATATCAAATCCGTTGCAAAAAAAGCATCTGCTAAGGTTGAATCTCTTTATCAAGCTTGACACTTTCTTATTGCAGATTCTATTTTTTATTTCTATAAATCTCAAATCCATTCTTGTATGGAATATTGTTTCCATATCTGTGGTAGATCCTCAAATGATACCCTTTTTCTTTTAGACAAGGTTCAAAAATGCATTGTAAATATAGTTGGACCTGCTCTTGCAACCAACTTCCAGCCATTATCATATTGTCATAATTTTGCTTTCTCTTTTCTACAAATACTTTAATGGACATTAAAGAAAATTTGGTCTCTTGTGCCATCTACTAAAATTCATTCTTATGTTACTTGTCATTTAATTAAGTCTCATCCTTTTTTTTGTGACTGTTCTTAAGTGCTCCAAAAACTCTTTTTCTTCTAGTTTTTTTCCTTGAACATCAGTTCTTTGGAATTCGCTTCCTTCATCTTGCTTTCCTGATTCATATAGTTTGCAATCTTTTAAGTTGTCTGTTAATTTTATCTTGCTCTACAATCTTCATCTTTTCTCCTCCAGTAACTTCCAATTCTAACTAGTGGTTGCTTGCAGCCTTGTTGGAAGTGAAGATGTTAAAAAAATATATATTAATTCTGAAACTTTTGGTTGACTGTTGTTTGAAACAAAACTTTGTAAGAAAAATAGTTTAAAATCAATAGTGTTTGTACAGGTAAGGTGCAGCTGGATATTTGTTATTGTTGTCTTTTTAGTTTATTTTGTATTGCTCTTTTTATTCCATACCAAGTAAACTAGTAAACTATAATTTAATATAAGTAAACTAGTAAACTATAGTCAAAATAACTGAACTATTATTAAAGTGAATTTTTACTATTTTAAATAAAAAAGTATAATAGTATGTAACAGCTGCCATATCCATTGCAAGTTTTAAGTTAAGTAGCCATAACCCTTGCAAGTTACAGCGGTGGCCAAAATACTTTAGCAAGTCAGTTTTATAGCTATTTTTATAACTTTTTAAACTCCTTATACTAATCTACGATATTAATTGTGTGAAAACAATTTTTAGCAGGTATCGAATAGCTTTTGCTATGAGGCAAATAAAATTTTTTGCTATTTTACTAGTCTTTTATTGATATTTTTTAGGCACAAAATCTTTTAATTTTATGAATTATTTGTTGAGTTTTTTTATGTTTATTACTTTATTATAATGTAAAATGGGCAAAAGAACAGTTGTTTCAACTAATCAACTTGCAGTAATAGTACAGTATCACAAGGATGGTTTTTCTAGCAGAGAAATCAAAAAAAAAAAAAAAAACAATTGTGATGATTTGAGTTTGAAAAGACTTGTAATAAAAATCCATCAGCAGAAATAAAGAAACAGTTATTATCTTATGAAAATGAAAGAACAATAAGATTTTTTCTGAGTTTATATTGAATTGCCGAGTTGTAGCCAAGAAACCTTTATTAAATGACAAGCAGCAGCATTTTGAAAAAAGTACAAGAACTGGACTTCTAGACAGTGGAGTAAAGTACTATTCAGCGATGAAATATGATTATGCCATTTGATACCATGCATCATTATGTTAGTCGTTCTGTCAGAAAACAATCCAATCTTCGGGTTTTTTTTCTGCTTTTAGATGTGGTGCACTGCATTTTGTACATCGAGGCACAATTGTGAATGCAGCCAAATATCTTGAAATATTGAAAAGCAAGGTTTGTAATACAATGCAAATACATTAATGTACCACAAGATGGTGCACCCTGCCATACAGCAAAGACAGTTCAATGCTGGTTTGTCAAAAAAACAAAAAACAAAAAAAAAAACAAGGTGATGGAATTTCCTGGGAATTCATCAGAATTTTAGCATTAATTAATAATATTAATTTAGCATTTTTTACTTTACAAAATATAATAAACACAATATTACCACTAAAGTTTGTAATGAAGCTAATATATATTAACTTGATTATATATAATAACTTGATTGCCTATATTAAGACTTATAAAAACCACAACTTCTACCTCATTTTTAGAAAACATTAGGGGAAGTTGATCAAAGGCATTAAAAGAACCATAATTTTGTAACAAATAAATTTTGAAAAGAAAAAGCTGATAAAGAAACAGTGATGTATCAAAAAAAAAAACTTTGACAATTCTGCGTGATTTTTTAAGTATTCTTTTCTAATTTAATTTTTTAATTTATCATTAAATTATTATTCTATTTTAGACCTTTTTCCTATATTTTAAGCTTGAGTTTTTTTAAAATTTGCAAATCTTTAATTAATGGCAGCAAACTACTTTAAGCTAACTTAAGAAAACCACTTTGATAGGAAAAATGCAATATTTTCTAACTTAAAAAATAAAAAATTTGAAATTTAACTATATTGTTTACTTTTTTAAATGAGGTTTAAGTGCCAAAATTTTTTTTCCTTAAACTTTCATTATAACTGAAGATCTTGTACAAGCTTAGCTAAATACAGGACTGTCTAACCTTGGAATGATGAAATTGACTCCAACCATTAACAGAGTCGGTGACACTAAAACTGTGGAGACGAAAGTTAAGTTTGAAGCCATTGGCACACAGTTGTTTTTTACTCAAACCAGTATCAAGGTTTATCAAAGAATAGCAGCAACACTACTAATTATGTGGTTACGTATTCTAAGGATCTTGCCCAGCTTCTGAATGAAGCCCTGTAGCATGTAAAATGCCTTGACAGAAGCGGTCCTTGGCTTCCAACAAAAACAATATCATGGTATTTTATGACAGTCATTTTTTGAAAAATGTTCTCAGCACTTCTCAGCAATTCTCAGCACCGACTAAAAATTTTCTCAAAATTTTTAGTCGGTGGTGACAACATGTTTTGGTATGATACTTGAGGATGACTTAACTAAAAAAGTTGATCCCTTTAGAGAATTATATAATGCAGTTATGCACAGTGTAACCTTAAATATCCATGATGCTTTCTTCCTTGGGAAGCAGTTCATTGAGATCAAAAAGGCTCCTTTGGGGATCTTTAGTGAGCAGGCAACAGAATCAATCCATCATCATTTCAGCTTACAGAGGAAGAAATACAATAGGGACAAATGTGTTGTGGATTACAACAGGAAGCATTTGTAAAGAATCAAAATTTCAAAAGAAATTATAATCAGCAATTCTACTTTTGCTTTTTATATGTTTAGAATCAAGAAATTGTTAAAACTGTTTCAACAGAAAATAACTATAAGAATTATTTGAGAAAATCTTTTAATTACTTTTATCTTATTTGTAGCTGAATCAATTGAGTCAGAGCTGTTTTTATTTAATATATAAATTGTTTTGAGTAACAAATTCTACTTTTAGAATGTTATTATATGTTGTAAAAATGCAAAATATAAAAGGCAGTCATTTTGCTTTATTTGCGAAAAATGCTAAAAACATTGTAGTTTCGCCTTGACAAAGTAGTTTTCTCAGGTAAGCTCAAAGTAGTCTTTAGTCAGCTTTTACAACAGTAGAATCGATAAATTTTAAAAGAATAAAGTTTTGGATAAAATATTTTTATCCAAAACTTTATTTTTATCACCATCATCATCATCATCATCATCATCATCATCATCATCATCATCATCATCATCATCATCATCATCATCATCATCATCATCATCATCATCATCATCATCATCATCATCATCATCATCATCATCATCATCATCATCATCATCATCATCATCATCACCATCATCATCATCATCATCATCATTAAAAAATACCTTGACTAATAGGTAATGCGCAACAATCAGTTCCAACAGGTAATGTGCCATTAAACTCACTAATTATTTTGCCAACCATAATTTTTGGAGCTAAGAAATTTTTTTTCAGAAATAACTCTGAAAAATTATTCGATTGATTTGGTATACAACTTACAAGTTTACAACTACTAACCAATTCTTCATGTGGGGACTCGCATATGACATTTGAATCTTTGGAAACAAATTTTGATTCTTCTTTAAAAAAAAAAAAAAATTAAAATAAAAATAAACTTCAACATTTTTATACTTTTGAATAAATTTTTGAAAAGATTTATTAACCCTTTAACATCTGAGTCAAAAACAGCTGTACGACTATACGACTGTGCATAAAATAATGAATTTGGATAATAAACAATTGAAAGGATATAAAATAAAAACTAATTGTCAGAATATTAAAAATGAGACCTTTTTTTTTTAAAAAAAATATATAGACTTTAAAATATATAGACTTTTTTAATATAAACTTTTTTTTGTTTGATTAAAATTAATGAAATAATATCACTATTTTTTATAAGAAAATCTGAAACAAACAAATAAAACAGTTAAATTGCATAAAAAACATATGAAACAAAGAACACAACTAAAGACGTCAATACATTCAATGAAAAACCATGAAATCAATTGACAAGACCTCTAGTGATAACTTTGAAACTAGAGCTAAAAAAAAAAAATTTCAATATTTTCTTCAATTGTTCCTTCAAGTACTATGTGTATAAATCTTTTGCGAATTTAAAGAGTAATGAAGAATTAAACAAAAAGCTAACCTCTTATACCACTTAAAAGATTTTCGAAGGGCCTGAATTCCATGTAGTTGCTGGTCGATCTGGTCAAGACAACCCATATGCATATTGTATGACTTGACAACTAACGGTTTAAGTATAATGTCACCATCTTTATCAGATTTCACACCATCACTGGATTGTGATATATTGATAGCACTGGTCAACAGAGAAATTGTAAAGTAAACAAATATAGCTGAAATATACTAATTCAAGGGTGCTGAACACAAATCTGATATTGAAAAATTTTTTTTTAGCTCTAGTTTCAAAGTTATCACTAGGGGTCTTGTCAATTGATTTCATGGTTTTTCATTGAATGTATTGGCGTCTTTAATTGTGTTCTTTGTTTCATATGTTTTTCATGCAATTTAACTGTTTTATTTGTTTGTTTCAGATTTTCTTATAAAAAATAACGACATTATTTCATTAATTTTAATCAAACATCCCAAAAAAGTGTGTCAATAACCCAGATTCACTGTTATATCTGTGGCAAAGTGACATTGGTTTAACAGAAACGTACTTTCTTGATCACACCAGTGATCAAGAAAGCTTACCATTTGTTCTTTGGTTGTATGTTAAGAGATCAAGAACAACCATGGACTCCTTGCATTAGTTGTATTTCTTGTAATGCAGTGCTTTCTAACAGGTTACATGGCAAAAGATAAGTCATGCCATTTGCGGTACCCATGATTAAGAGGGAACCAACTGATCATGTTACCAACTGTTACTTTTGCATGATACCCTCCATAGATCATCATGGCATCACAAAGAAGAGGACACAATCAATAATATATCCAAATATTCCAAGTTTTTGAGACCAGTGCTCCATGGTGAAGGCCTTCTTGTACCAGACCCACCAACTAACATATCGTCCAAGTTCAGTGATGATAATGATGCCGATGACGACATAGAAGCTTCAGAGCCATCAACTTGAGAAAATGTGATTTATCTACCTACTGCAGTTGATAATGATTCTTATCAAATCTCTTAAAATGAACTTAATGATCTGGTTCAGAATTTAGGACTAAGAGCAAGGCTGAGCAATTAGGATCCAGAACAGTGGAATCTACTTCAAGATGATGTTAGAATAAGTGTACTTCACAGCAATGACAATCAGTTTAAACTTTATTTTTCAATCGCAGAACAAGTTGTCTATTGTCATAATGTGGCTGGCTTGATGGATGAACTAAAGATTCAGTATGCTAATGAAGAATGGAGACTCATGTTTATAGACTCATAAAAAACAAGTCTTAAGGCTGTACTTCTTCTGCTTGGAAATGCATTCCCTCAAGGAAACATATGACAATATGAAGCTAGCCCTAGTCAAGATAAAATAGGAAGAACATCAGTGGCAGATATGTAGTGACTTAAAAGTTGTTGCACTTATTCTAGGATTGCAGCTTAGTTAAACAAAGTTCTGTTGCTTTCTCTATGAGTAGTATAGTAGAGCTCACACAGATTATTACATCAAACAAAAATGACCTAAGAGACAATCCTCAGAACTAGGTGTCAATAATGTATCAAGATATAAAACTCGGCTCTTATTTTGGTTCTATCTCATGATATCTGTGGTACTTGGGTAACCACAGAGCTCATAATTACCAGGAAATTGTTGAGAGCCTGTTTGGACTCACATCAGACACTGTACTGCAATATTTCATTGAAGCTACACTTTCTACAGTCATCTGGACTTCTTCCCTTCCAACTGATGTGAACACCAAACACATCCAACGGATGTGAACACCAAACATGATGAAAAGATTTATCAGGAGATTACTGCCAGACAGTAGCAAAAAAAAGTCCAGAAGCTGTGTACAAATGAGCATATAAACACCCTGGAGTGTCTAATGTGAAATGACTAAATGTTTTTATTGTAATCTATGTATAATACATGCATAAACATAAATTGTATCAATACATAAAAACTAGAGCTTACACAATGATTTCAATATGATATTTGAACTCAGCATGAAAAATTGCACCAGATAAATATAATTTCTGTTCTTTTACACAAAAAAAGTTAAAACATGTGTAGCATGTAAACAATTTTCTGTTTGTTACCTGATTTGTCTTTTTTTGCACAATATTTGCAGGCTAACATTTTATTATCTTCGCTGGGAGTTTTGTAAAAAACAGCAGTCCCTTTTGTAAGTTGCTTATTAAACATCTCTTTTCGATTTGCGTGAATGTTTCCACAAATGTAAGTCTTCTTGAACAAGAGAAGGCTGGCAAGAAAAGGGCTTATGTAGTAATTATCAGTGAACTATATGAAAACTATTTAGAAATGGCCTCATCAACTCTATTGGTATATATTGGCTTGAAGGCATTGCAGTATTTTTGTAATCATTATACATTCCAGCACCCCAGTACACTAGAAAACCAAGTATAACACCAAATCATGTCTTTATATTTTGATGAAAATATAATCTGCTCTTAAAAAGAACAAGGGATTCATCAACACTCAGGTGTCGTTCGAGACTGGACTATGCCAGCACTCTCTGATCATGTTGAGAAACGATCTGACCTTACACAATCAATATCTATTAGAATCATTAAGATTATAATTAAAATCATTATTATTATAAAAAGGAAGAAATATGAGAATAACCTTAAAACAGTCTCAAGACATGGTTTTCCAAAAGATTGGTGTCCAATAAAGATCACAGGTGGAACAATACATATGCAAATTTGGTTTATGTATGATACTAATTAATATAATTAGACTAAAAAAAGTTTAATTACTGTAACAACTTTACAATTCTTCAGCAGTCTTCTCTGTTTGAAATTTAATGACAGCGCACAAAAAAGCACTGACAGGACGGTTTTTTTAAGTATCCTGCGCAATTTAAAAAATTCATTTTTTTCCTGCTATTTAAATAAAAAGAAAAAAAAGCAAAAAGAATGCTTTGAACAAATACTAGATAAAATAATTAAAAAAACTAGTAAAAAAAGCATTTTTCATAAAAATTTAACAAATGAACAAAAAAATTTTTTGATGCAATTTAAAACAAAGCGCTTTTATTTTTTTGGCAAATGCTTTTTTAAGCGCTTGCTAAAGTTTTTTCAGGCATGTGAGCAAGCGCGACTTGAGTGTGAAAGTGCTGGCGAAACAGAGAAGACTGCTTCAGGAAAAAATTATTGCCATTTTCTGGGTGATTGCTTAAGAAATTTTTGCAGTAGCGGTTACATTCAGCAAGAATATATTTTGAAATAGCATCAGCTAAACTTCAAATAAGTCAAGAGCGTCTCCTGTCTCCTCCTATTCTAACATTTAGACCTTCAGTGGAAAAGAATTAAGAAGTGTCATTAGACTTTTTCTCATTATCAGCATTAACATGCTCCCATTGTAAGTGTAAGTCAGTTTGATCAGAAAATAAACAACCAATGATCAGTTGATGTGATCAACCACCACAAACACAGCGAATCCTAACCCTAATTTGGCCTTAGTTAGGTTGTAGGTTATGACAAGCACCTCTCTAGGGCAACATAATCAAAAGTATGTAAACCACTTACATATCAACTTCCACCTTCTTACTACTATCTAGTTCTCACACATTTCTGTGAAACATAAGATAGTTGTTGAGTTTCATAACACTCCTTTTCACAATCAGATTCTATACTCCTATTACTAGATGATTTCTCATAAATTTCTTCGTCAGTCTCAAATTATATTTTCAGGTCACTATCAGCTTTCTTCTCAGATGCAGAAATATCATTACAGAAATTTTGATTTTTAGTGGTATTTGTAATAGAATGTAAAAGTAAAACTAAATTTTGAACTGGTATATCCTCAGAGGTAGCAGAGAGGTAGCAGAAAAGTAGTTCTTCATTTACATAAAATACTTTTAAAAATCACTAGAGTCGCTAGATTAATATCGTTATCTCCATCAAGATCAATATCGTTATCTCCATCACTATTATTAAACAAAATATCATATCAACTTATTCTCTTTTTAGCCATTTTTCAAAATTAAATTTTCCCCCTGTACCCCTAAAAATGTGCAGAAAAATTTAAAATTATTGATAGACTGCCATGTGTTTCACATGTCATTTAGGAGCCGATTTTATGCACAGCTATGCTGGTCACTCGTCATTAAAGGGTTAATAATGTATTTGTTTTATAATTACTTAGTATATACTTTACGAGATATAAAAAACATAATTCATAAAAACCCCATGTTAACTTTGGGTGCAATAATTTATTTTTGTTTGTATAAAAAGCAATATTTTTTTAATGTTTTAAATGGTAAAAAAATGATTTCTATGTTTTCTTTGTTTGAATAAAGAGGTTAATTTATTTTTAACTTCAGTAATGCCTAAAAATTTCATTAAGATAGGGCTCCAATTAAGCGTATTGTGATTGCTCTTTGCACCTTAGCAATTGGTTTTTTCTTTAAAAAAATATTTTAGTAATTT